GTTAAGTCGAAACCATTCAGTGTTCGCACTGGTCTCTGCCAAGGCTGCGTCCTGTCCCCTATCCTGTTTGGGTTGGATAGAATTGTCAGGAGCTGCGAAGGCGATGACGATGACTGTATCGATGTAAAAGATGTGAAGACAAGAAGGTTCCTGTTTTCAGACAACGTTGTTTTATTAACATCTTCTGAAACTGGTCTCCAGTGCTCCTTAGAAAGGTTGGCAGCCGAGTGCGACGTGACTGGCGTGCGTGTGAACGCATCTAAAACGAAAAGCCTAGTGCTTTCTCGTTCTCCTGCCCGTTGCTCTCTTTAGATTAACGAAGAGGCAGTGGAACAGGTGGAGAAGTTCAAGTACCTCGAAACTGTATTTGCTAGTGATGGAAAGTTGGAGGAAGAGATTGACCGGCGAATTGGAGTAGCCGTGGCGTTTTGTGCGAACTATCCTGAACTGTGACTAAAGCAGAGCTGAGCCTGAGTCTAACCTCTCAGTGTTTTAAAGTCGGTCCTTTTCCGCATTTTTAGCTACGGTCATTAGTCGTGGCCCATATCTGAGGACCTTCGAGCCCGGATACAAGCGGCTGAAATGGGCTTTCTGAGACGAGTCGCTGGACATGGTCTCGAATAGTGACCCCTGGAAGAGCCATGGTGTACAATCTCTGCTTCTCTAGATTGAGAAGTCGCAGTACAGCTGCGATAGTATGGGCATGTGTTGCGAAGGCCTCCAGAAAGAAAAGCTTAGCAGCTGTTTCTTGCGAAACCGGCTGGCAGAAGACCCAGGGGACGGCCAAGATTAACCTGGTGCAAATATATGGAAGGAGGCTGTTCTAGACTCCGTTTTCTTTTGCCGAAGCTCAGACTTTGACACGTCTGCCTCCGTGATCCGAAGGAGAAGCGGCCATGAAAGATGGAGATGAAGAAGACGATGAATCCACCCGAATTGTTCATGAGTCTTGCGTTGGCCATATGCGTGCTGAGGTGAGTAGTCTTTTCTGGGAGGTAGTCATGTTCTGACAACTGCTGGCCAGATAACGCTAATGATTTTGGATATGTTGGCTGTTTCAAAGCTAATCATCGAATCAGCATGTATAAATAACACCTTTATGCCTGGCAAGTTTAGCGACGTAGACGCACTTATTATTTATGAATCTGAAACGCTCATCTGCTGAAGTAATTTAGCAACAATGTCACGCGTTATTTAAACCTATGACTCTGTCTTTTTGCGCAATTTATTGCTTGTCAGGGCTGAATTATTTCCGTGTTAGCCACTAGTTTCTTTCGGCAAATGATCGATGATGTTTCAATGCGGTTTTTGCCAGAGCGAATAATGAATGGCGCTAGAATGGGCAACAAGCACCGCTGTGCGTTAGAGAATTAGTTATGCTTTTTTATGCTATGCTTAGTTCAGTTGGAACAGGCAAATGTTACAAGCTGCCTGTGTTCAAACATAAAGTCAGAAACGATTGGGAATTTATGGTACCGAAATACAGAACTCTAACATAACGCATGGACAACATGAGCCCAGCGATTAGACCTGTGACACTCGAGTGTAGTTCCATGGCGAAAGGGCTTATTTCGGTAGAAGCACTTCGCCATAAATTGTCAATACAAAGAAATGACCCCTTTTCTATGATTCGTTTCTTTCAAGGGACCAATGAGTTTCCAGACTTGGGTAATTTCTTCCTGGTAGTGTGCCAGTTGGCCAATCAAACCTTGGGCTCATATGGTTCCTTCCTTGTTACGGTCCGTGGGCAAATCAGCAGCGTTGGAATGCCGATGCGATGGAGCAACCGGCGCATCCGTGATTGTTATCAGCCTGACTCTTCTGCAAATTTAATGGTCACCACTCACAGAGATTAAAGGATTCTTTAGAGATCAAGCATCGTTCTTGTGCCTTTCTTAAACACGAGTGCTTTTAGTCTTTACTAAACGAGGGTACTAAACCCAAAATATCAGCAGCGCCACTTTTGATTTGGAAGTCACCTGCTACCCCATACCGTTTATACCAGATGTACGTGAAGAACTCAGTAAGTTTAAAAAAAATTTTTTTTCAATATGGGCATGGCTCTCACAGTATAATATCCAAAACGTTTAACAGTTATTTAAATCAAGGTCGGTGAAATGTCATCTATCACGTTACTCGTGGCAACGATAATTGCACCTATATCTGTCGGACGCGTTTATCTTTGACAGTCAGAAATAATGAGGATGCTATTACTCTGGATTAGTCTCTTATACCCTAGAAAATTGTCATAACTTTGACAGCAGCGGCTTTTGCATCACTGATGACCGTCGAGATAAAAATAAGATATTATAAGGGAATCATCTTATCTGCTAATAAAGCCATGTATATAATGATGAGATTTCATTATATATAGTAGCTTTGGTGATTAATCAACTGTTTCATTTGCTGCAAAACTAGGAAAGCCATTTCCTGTTAAATGTAGAATTCGGCAGGAAGACGAGCCTTTGTCTTTGCTGTTCAATGTTATTCTCTAAAACAGTGTTGATTCTGGCAAAAACGAAGGTCTGATTCCAGAAGTGATGCGGAGCTCAAGATATTCAGCAGGATTTGGCATGGGGCGCCAGTTCTGCGACCCAATGACACCAGTACGAGATGCAGCGAATGCACCTCTTCCTCAGTGCCCGGAAGTCAAAAGCGATTAGCAATCAATCCGGCACAGCTGATCTACAAGTGAAACAAGGAGATGAGGCGCTTGAGGGTGATGACAGATTAAAGCGTTTCGGCTCCATCATCTTCAGCGATGGCACCATCGAATAAGAGTTAAATATGAGGATAGCCTTAGCTTCGAATGTCATGAGAAACTTGTCCAATATTGAAGCTGAGAAGGGAGTGTCTCTTTCCACAAATGTCTGTCAGTATAAGATTTGTACAATATGGAGATAATTGTCTTGTCAAGGAACAAAAACGGCGGTCGAAGGTTGTGTTCAGAAGCGTTGTCTTCGACGTATGATGAGGTTAAATGGCGGGACCACGTAATGAATGGCTATTCTCTTCCGGGTACAAGTGACCCTCGTAGATGAGAAAATACCGAAAAGAGTTTATTGTCTTTGACAGACTGTTTGAGCATACACCGACTACTACAGCCCTTGAGTTTTTTATGCAGAAGTAGAACGCAGCAGACGTAGGTCAGGAACCAGCATGCAAGATGGAGGTAAGAGGTAGAGAAAGATCTGTTTTCCGGGGTTTTGTTTTCTTCTAATATGGACTAGTGGCTGCCTTGTAGCAAATGTGTTGAAGAGTGAGCTGCGTCGCAGCGAACAACCAGAGATGTTCTGCTTATGGAAATAACTCAAAGTCATGACATCAGCTGGAAAAAACAATCGAATACCTCGAACAGAATGACGCCTATGTTTTCTCAGCATTTGTGCCCTATGTATCAAAGTTTTTAAATGCTCTTGCCGCTAACCGTCGAATCGCAAAGCATGTCAGTGTTTAGGACAATGATTTGCCCATGATATTTTGCAACCGCTGACTGTGAATTCATGCATATTATAAGGACCCCTTTCGCTAATCAGCAAAATTAGTTAAAACCAGTAATGGTCAGGATGACAAAAAGTGATTATGTGAACAAGACGTGACCACTGACCGAAGAGCCATGACCACTCATCATCGTTGTGCAAAGATCAAGCAAGAGTCGTTCTCCAAAAGCATTGGCAATTGTCACGCTTACTCGTTTCATACGGCTGTTACGTCGTAGATCAGCGTCGGAAGGTGATTTTTTTATGCTGATTAATAACGTATTGATGAACGGGTAAAGGATAGGGAACGGTGTCAAACACGCGGTCAAACAATGGCGCCCATTAGGCATATATTTTGACTGGGACTGGTTGTTAGTCCCCGTCTTATTACAAACGTTCATTTCGTCACAGGACAATCAAAACCAAACAGTGATCACGATGCAACGAGAGAACAGTCATATTGAGGAGTTTTGACCATCGGCCGTAAGTCCATTGCTCATTATCTCTCGTTATCACTACGCAACGATCAGATTGACTGTGAATCTCTGGTCAGCACCTGTGGTCATCACTTGCATTTGTCTCACAGCGGGCGCTGGGTCACAGAACAGCGTTGGCCATCGCTGCAAGCAGTACCTCGGGACAAGACACAAAACAACAGTTCACACAGCGGTCTTTCAGCAGGTCCAGAACCTGCTGTTTCAGAAACGGGTCAGAAGTCACCCACACTGTGCACATGTTGTCAGCGGTGCGGTGGAGTACTGCCTCCAGTAGCGGCACGTCCCCTCTGGAGCTTCCACAGACAAGTATTTTGCCGGCTGAGATATTCAGCTCTGTGGTCTGCAGGTAGCGATCGACGCCGTCACCCTTCGTACAATGAACCGCACCCGTCGGAACCTTAGGCAATATCTTCAACGCGTGGGACTCGTCCAGCATCTGAAAAGCATCTTCACTTTTGTCGATTTCGGCCGCCATTGCTTTGATCTTTGAGCACCACCGATTCGACTCTGACACGGGTATCGAGTTGTAGCAGTCCTGCAACGTGGCGGTCAAGCAGCAGCTGTACAGCGTGACTCCGGGGCCGATTATCTTGAATATTTCGTTCTCCTTGTCCCTGGTCGCCTTCTCAGTCAGCCGGTAGAGTTCGTTCATTTTCTGCCTTTGTTCCTCACTGAACTTAGGCGTGTCATCGAACGATTTCCGGTGCAAACCAATCAGCCATTCCTGGCCGTTGTATCCGCCAAAATCGCAGTAACCTTCCGGCATGGTGCTCGCATCAAGAACACCGAAGTCCTTCAGAGGAACCGAAGACATCACAGCCGCTTTATCGACGCAGTGCCTGGCGAACGTCGCCAACACTATAGCGCTATATACCGGTTGGACACTTCCCAATAATGTCGTTGTACTTCTTGTTAGTGTTCCATCGAAACTGCTCATCATCAACTACAAAAATCAATCAATACTCATTTCACAGTGAACCTCAGTTGTCCTCTTAAAGAATAGTAACTGAACTAGCTTCAATGCCTTTGCGACAAGATCTGGCGACTGCTCCAACCCATTCATGCAGAAGCAGCTGAAAGAAAAGACCTGCGTCTATGCCCTGGCATGTGTCCCCCAGACATTATATTTAGATCTGATGAAACCAATTACTGCATGAAATTATTTCCTGCGAGATGAGGCACCGCTCCGTGATGCGGAGCAGAAACTGCCCAGAAAACAGACGGCGGTTGTGCCAGAGCTCACTGAGGAAAACAACAAGAAAACCACTTGAGGACCGTCATCAAGCAACCCATTGGGTCGAAATGAAAAGCAAATGAACGCCTTTCATAGACGTTTGGCAAGAGTGAGGCAGTAGCGGGAACCTTTTGCTAAGGTCAGCGGGAAGTGATTCTCATTTATTATGAATAATAATTGATCGTAATGCTTATTATATGCCCCCCAGAGAAATCAATCAATCAGATAAATAGAACTGCGTTGAATAAGGGCATCGTGCAATAAAGCAAAAGGCAATAAGAAGAATTTTGGGCAGAATTCGAGGAACTCGTAAAATCAGGAGGTGCAGCACTGACATGAAACAAGCAATCTTGCTTACATTCTGTTGGAAGGAAAACAAAATTTCAGACCATTGCATTGCTGCATTGATGATTTTATAACAGAAGATAAACAGCAGCCTTAGACGTATAGTATGATCAGTTTGTTGTCACTCATACTAAGATCTTCGAGGTCATTGACAAACAGACATAAGAAAACTGGACTTAGAAGAATCAGTGCAAGTTTCAGATTGAGGTTTATTGCGACGGTTCGCCTTCAGACGATAAAGTCATCTGATACAGAAAATTAGCGTGTTTTCTTCCAAGTTTCGTCGACTTTAGAGTAGCTTATGATCTGCGCATCATTGATATTGGATACAATGAGTAACGAGGAATGAATAAATGAACGAATAAATTATAAAAAACCTGTTGGTTTAATGGGATCGTTTAACGATTGCATTTTTTTCAATTGGAGATTTCATTGTCATGATTTACCCGACCTTTCTCCCATCCAACCGCATCGTCTAGTATAAAGTCATCACAAATTGAACTGAAATATAAAATTGAAATCTCGTCCTAAAACTTTATGCTGTTATGAAACAACATGAAGATATCAATAAGGCACTGGAGTGAGAAATCTGGAGTTGAAAATAGGTGGACCCTATTTAAACTACCTATGGTTTACTGATGATACTTTATTCCACATATAAGGGTTCCAGAAAACTGCAGGAGACTAAGGTGAACGGTGTGGAGTCATGGCGGGCATGAAAATTAACGTTGTTATGACCCAGCATATGCTCAGTCGACAACAGACCAAATAAACCGCTGAAGTCCGTAAAAGCGAGACTACGTTTGTGTAAGTCAACTGCCTTGTGCAGCAAAGAACTAACTTTACTAAGCTATCAGAAGAGTAAAAATGACATTGAGGAATTTCGAAAATTTGAAAGACTCCCATCTGGAAGAGTGCCCTTGTGCCTGAAAAGGTAGATGTTCGCAATGTGCTTGCCTTCAGTGCTGGAACATCGACGCGAAACTTTAGGTGTTACCCTTTGTATAGTAGGATAAATAAATAAAAATTACGGTAAAGAAATGTAAATCCGTCATAAAACTTATAATTGCAAATGATTTGAAGCGGAAGACAACTGTTTACGGTAGACTCGATCAGCAGGATTCATTTTCAGATGAATACACAACTGCTAGAGAGAAGAGATGAAGTGATAGACAACGCAGGCAAAAGCCGTCAATCATGCGCAAGTGATAGCGAACTAGAGACCACGGCAGCTAATCTGTACTGAGGAACGGTGATAGTGATGAATGTTGGTTCCAAGAAACAATAAACAACTCATAGAATGGCCTCCAGATGCAGCGTAAGGTGAGCAAGACTGTGGGAGGATGAGGATGGACAAGTCGCAAGGTACAGAGCTTTGTGGCAAAATTTAGCGAGACACTCGTTCATCAGTGAATCGAAAAGTACTGACGATGCAAGTGTGAACATACAACGCAGCGCATGGCAGAAATTAGTGTAACAATAATTTACCTTAAAACATTTGCCTCGTCCCAGCAGTTTTGTGGCATTGCCAAATTCGACGGCAAAACCGGCGTCTTTCTGCGGATGGAATTTCCGAAACAGTGATATGAGCTTCTCGAAATGAATGACTTCGTTGTTGGTTGGCAAAATTTTCAGAAAATCGTACTCGATTTGCAGCTGGGTGATTTCGTTCATGACGTTGATCACTATTGGCTGATTTCTGTAGCTTTTCACGTGAAGTTTATAGCCCTGGAGGGAAACGGAGCTCTGCTGCAAGGACCTCAGTACGTTCCTGACCGATATGATGAATTTCCGCCTGCAGCCTGTCCCCCTCATCACACTCTGCACCAATTCTCGTCGCAGAGCCCTAAGTTGCATCATTAAATCATCGTACTCCCGCAGGGTTGTGATGTGCACCCGGT